GTAGCTGGGACTACAGGCATGCGCCACCATGCCCGGCTAATTTTTTCTATATATTTTTAGTTGTCCAGCTAATTTCTTTCTATTTTTTTTAGTAGAGATAGGGTCTCACTTTTGCTGAGGCTGGTCTTGAACTCCTGACCTCAAGCGATCCTCCCACCTGAGCCTCCCAGAGTGCTAGGATTATAGGCGTGAGCCACCACGCCTGGCCACCAGTCAATTTCTTTAATTCTTAATGAAATATGTATTAACCTTTTCTTGTGTCAATTTTGATAAATCATATTTTTCTAGGATATTTATATATTTTATCCCAATGTCCAAAATTGTTGGCTTAAATGTGTTCAAAATATCTTTTTATTATAGTCTGTAGTATCTGTGTTGATGACTCCTCTTTCATTTTGGTTATTTGTTCATTCTCTTTTAATCTTGATCAGTTACATTCAGAAAATAAAAAGAGATGATACATGCCCCAACTCCTGTTGTGAGGTTAATTCAACTCTGATACCAAAACTTGACAACAGTATGAGAAAAGAAAATATAAGGCCAATGTCATTCACAATTATGGATGTAAAAAAAAAAACCCAAATAAAACATTAACAAGCCAAATCCAGTAATATATAACAAGGATAATACATCATAAACAAGTTGGGTTTATTCCAGGAATGCAAGTTTAGTACAGCATTAGGAAAATCAATCAGTATAACTCACTGCCCTTAGAGAAAATGGGAGAAAAATTTTTTGATCATCTCAACAGATGCAGAAAAAACTTTTGACAAAACTTTAACACCCATTTCTGCCTAAAACAAACAAAAACTCTTAGAGAACTAGGACCAGGAGGAAACTTCCTTAATATAATATGAGAATGGTATCTACAAAATGCCAATGACAAACATGACACCCCAAGGAAGGGGTGACTGTACAAAGCCCCGCTGGAGGGTGGGTCTGCCACATCATCTCTGTTCCAATCAACACTACAATGAGCTTAAAAGACAGTAAAAGACAACAAAATAAATACAGCATATAAAGTTTAGAAAGGAAGAAACAAAATAATCATTCACAAAAAATAAAAACAATCTATAGGTAAATTATTAGAATAAGAGTTCATCAAGTTTGCCAAATATAAAATTCAAGTATTAGTTATATTTCTATGTATAAAACGTAGTTAGAAATAGCTAGAAAATACAGTTAAGAGAGGTATTGTTTAAACCCAAATAAGAAACTCCCCAAACGCTCATTAACAGTAGAATGAATGAATAAATCATGGTATAGCTACATCAGGGAAGATTACACAGCAATGCATGAACCACAACTACACACAGCAGCATGGATAAATCTCATAAATATAATTCTGAGTAAAAGAACCCAGACATAAAAGAGTATATGCCACACAATCCCACCTATAAAAAGTTCAAAACCAAGTGAACTCAGTGGTTATCCTTGGGTAACCTGATGTTTTGTCTGTTAATAGGTGCTGGTTACATGGCTAGGTCTGACTTGTGAACATTCAGTAAGCAACATAATTGGTATACTTTTATGTATGTATATTTCAATAAAAAGTATTTTTAAAGAAAAAAATTAACATAATGCCCTGGCTATAATATGAAGGATAAATCAAAGTAATTTACTGAAAAAGTAAGGACAAAAAGACCATCTATGATTAGCATCGAAAAAATACCAAACACCTAGGAATAAATCTAACCAAAGAGATAAAAGACCTCTTTGCATAAAATTGTAACACATTATTGAGTAAAATTCAGACCTAAAAAAACGAAGAGATATAGCATGTTCATGCCTGAAATATCCAGATTGTAAAGATATCCATTACTCCTCAAATTGATTTAATGCAACTCCAATCAAAATCCCATCTTTTTTTTTCTTTGACAGGCTGATTCTAAACTAATACGGAAATGCAAAAGGTCAAAAATAGGCAAGACACCACTGAAGACAGACAGGAAGGTGAGGTGACTTGCTCTATTGCATACCAAGACTTATAAATCTACCCCACTGCAGACAGTGACGAAGCACAAATAGACAATGGGAGAGAAATTATATACAAGTGTGTGTGTTTGTTTGTATACACGCACATGGGATATGTATGTGCCTGGAAAGGAAAGCGTGGAACCCTCCTCACTTCACAGACCAGGGGTCTTAACTCCCCTCCCCAGGACTGGTTAAACAGAGTGACCCCTTGGGGTTCTACCCTTAAGCTCACAGGGAGGCCTGGCCATGCTGGGTCAGGACACCCATATTCTCCTACAAGAGGGTGCAGTGTAGCTGGTTAAAAACGAGGACGTCAAAGTTGGAGCTGGGCAAAATCGTATCCACTTTAAGCCAAACTTTTCTGGGAATGGGTGATAACAGTTTTCTCTAAGATTTTTATGTAGGCTGGGCGCGGTGGCTCATCCCTGTAATCCTAACACTCTGGGAGGCTGAGGCCGGAGGATTGCTTGAGCTCAGGAGTTCGAGACCAGCCTGAGCAAGAGTGAGACCCCCGTCTCTACTATAAATAGAAAGAAAGTAGCCAAAACAACTAGAAATAGAAAAAAACAAATTAGCCAGGCA